ATTCCTTTGAGGGGTAACAAGGTTATCATATGCATGGACTGGTTGAGCCCTAATGGGGCGATTATCGATTGTGCGCAGCAGTTGGTACGTGAAGGACCCCAAGTGTAGGAGAGCTGGTGATTCAGGGCGAGAGGCCGCATCGTGGACCAGCTATGTGTTCGGCAGTGAGGGCTAGGTGCTACCTTTAGCAGGGTTGCGTTGGGTATGTCGCCTACGTTATGGATACCCGGGAGGCGGGTAAGGCGACTGTGAGTGATGTGCTAGTTGTACGAGAGCACCCGGACATATTTCCAGAGGAGTTGCATGGGATACCTCCGGAGAGACAGGTTGAGTTCAGGATTGACCTAGTCTCTGGTGAGGCTCCGATAGCCAATGCACCATATCGGTTGGCTCCTCCCGGTATGCAGGAGTTGTCTACGCAGTTGCAAGAGCTGCTAGACAAGGGATTTATCAGGCCGAGTAGTTCACCATGGGTAGCCTCGATCCTGTTTGTGAAGAAGAAGGACGGGTCACATCGGATGTGCATAGACTACCGGGAGTTAAACAAGGTGACGTTGAAGAACCGTTATCCACTCCCGAGGATTGATGATCTCTTCGATCAGCTATAGGGGGCATCTTGGTTCTCCAAGATTGATCTGCGATCGGGGTTATCACCAGATGCGAGTCAGGGATGAGGATGTGCAGAAGACAGCTTTTAGGACTCACTATTGTCACTATGAGTTTGTGGTGATGCCCTTCAGGCTCACCAATGCTCTTTCCGTGTTCATGTACCTCATGAACCGCGTACGCAGACTGACGTTGGATCTGTCTGTGATAGTCTTTATCGATGACATCTTGGTTTACTCCAAGACGCAGGAGCTGCATGAGGAGCACTTGCGGGAGGTGTTGGATACCCTGAAGAGGGAGAGCTTGTACGCCAAGTTCTCCAAGTGTGAGTTCTGGTTGCACGAGGTGTGGTTTCTGGGGCACCTTGTTAACCATAATGGGATTTTGGTCGACCCAGCCAAAGTGGAGGTCGTGATGAGATCGGAGGTTCCGAAGTCTCCATTTGAGATTCGGAGTTTCCTCGGACTAGCAGGCTATTACCGGAGATTCATTCAGGACTTCTACAATATGGCAGTGCCGTTGACCCGACTGACAAAGAAGGTTGTTGTATTTCGATGGGGGCCTGAATAGCAGGCAGCGTTCGAGACGTTGAGACAGAGGTTGTGCGAGGCGCCGATCTTAGCCCTGCCAGAGGGCGTGGAGGATTTTGTAGTGTACTACGATGCGTCCATTTTGGGCCTGGGCGCAGTCTTGATGCAGAGGGGGTGCGTCATCGCCTACTCCTCGAGGCAGCTGAAGCCTCACGAGGCGACCTAGCCGGCGCACGATCTGGAGTTAGGGGCAGTTGTCTTCGCCCTCAAGATTTGGTGGCACTACCTCAATGGGGTCCGATGTACCATTTACACGGACCACAAGAGTATGAGGTACCTCATGGATCAGTCGAACCTGAACATGAGGCATCGTCGGTGGCTAGATGTGGTGAAAGATTACGACTGTGCGATCCTCTACCACCCGGGGAAGGCCAACGTTGTGGCCGATGCTCTTAGCCGCAATTCATCCCCGATCAGAGACATTTGCTTGAGGATGATGGTGGTGACTCCGCTTTTGGAGTAGATCCGGGAGGCCCAATTGGAGGCTATGAAGGGGTAACATCGGAAGAGTGAACATATTGTGGGTCAGGTTTCCTCCTTCGACTAAATTAGTCGCGGGTTGTTGACACTCCACCGTAGAGTGTGGGTTCCATATCATGGAGGTGTGCGCCAGGTTTTGATGGAGGAGGCGCACAAATCTAGGTTTTCTATCCATCCCGGGGCAACGAAGATGTACATAGATATTCGTCCTGATTCTTGGTGGCCCTGCATGAAGCGGGATGTAGCCTGGTACGTTGAGAGGTACTTGACCTGCAGGAAGGTCAAGGTCGAACACCAGAGACCTTATGGCAAGACGCAGCCGTTGGATATCCCTATGTGGAAGTGGGAGGATATTACTATGGATTTTATCACGAAGGGGGAGGATATTACTATCGAGAATTACGTCGAACTCACTCAACTCAAAAGGCAAAATCTATCGATGAAATTTGTTTCCGTTCAAGTGGATAGTTACGGCCTCTAAACTATTGCTAACAGATACATTCCTACCACCATCTACTTCTACTAAGATAGGAGTACTTAACCTAAGTGGTGATAATCTAAGTTTCCTACCAAATTCATGTGATATAAATGAATGATCTGCTCCAGAATCGAATAATATCTTTACAGGAATTTGATTAACTAAGAATGTACCTGAAGCAACATCGGTATCTTCCTTTGCTTCATTGAGGGTCATCTGATAGCTTCGACCCTTGGGCTTTGATGGCATGATCCTTAGGGTAGGTTTCTCAACCTTTGGGCACTCTGCCTCCATGTGCCTTCCTCTCCACAATTGAAAAAAACTTTTCCTTTGACGGGGCAATTTGTAGAAATATGCTCGGGCTTCTTGCACTTAAAGCAAACGCTACAATCGCCAAAATGCTTCTTCTTGCACTGGTCGCACCACTTCCCTTCGTGGTTGCTTCTAGATTTGTTGCTTGGCTTTGAGAACTTCTTCTTCTTCTAGCTGCTGTTGTTGTTGCTTCCCTCATCCTTCCTCTTTTTACCGACCTCAGTCTTGTCGGCATCTCTATTTTTCATCATACCTTCCACAGATTTTGTAGAGTAGACTGCCGCCTCAAAAATAGGTTCCTGCTTCACCGGTACAGTGTACTCCCATGGCAATTCCTTTGCATACATATCAATCTTGGTAAGTTCATCTGGAACAAGTCGTAGGGAGAACTCCATTTAATCAGTGAAAGCATTGGTGTACTCGTCCACTGATATGCTTCCCTTTGTCAAAGCCAAGAATTGATTCTCCACTTCCAGCATCTTCTCAGCTGGATAGAACTTCCTTTTGAAATGGGTCAAGAATTCATCCCATGTCAAATGCAGTGGCTTGTTGGGGCTCATAATCTTCCCTAATGTGTTCCACCAATGAAGCGTTGTCCCCTTGAACTGCCTCATAACATAGGTGGTTTGTAGCTTCCCCGTGCAACCACATGTTATAAAATCTGACTCCATCTCCGATATCAAATCCATGACTCCAATTGGATCCTCTTTTCCATTGAAGGATGATGGCTTGCAAGTCGTAAACTGCTTGTACTTGAAAATTCCCCTTGGCTCATCATTCCTTCGAATCTCCAATTTTTCTGGAGGAGGAAGTGGTCCTTGATGACTTTCTGAGTCATCATTTCCTTCCTAGACTGTCTCTAGATGAGAAGGAAGTAGTCCTTGATGACTTTCTGAGTCATCATATTCATCCTAGTAAAGCAAATGTCATAGCAGATGCTTTAAGCACGAAAGAAAAAGCAAACCCACTTTGTGTAAACGCTCTAACCCTAACCACCCACTCCAATCTCACCACCTGAATTCAAGATGTTCAACTAGAAGCACTCAAACCCGAGAATATCGTAGAAGAAAACCTGCAAGGTATGGACAAACAGTTCAACCTCAAGGAAGACAAAACACGATATATCATTAACCGAATTTGGATCCAAAGGTTTGTAGAAGTCATGAGTCTAGTCTTAAATAAAGCTCATAAGTCGAGATATTTGATACAACCTGGATCAGATAAGATGTATCTCGATCTTAAAAAGTTGGATTGGTGGCCCAACAATGAAGGTAGAGATTGCCACCTATAACAGTAAGTGCTTGACTTGCTCCAAAGTCAAAGCAGAGTACCAGAAGCCATTTGGTCTACCAATAACCACCAATCCCAGAACAAAAATTGGAAAAAATAACCATGGACTTCATAATGAAGTTGCCAAGAATTTCAAGCGATTATGAAAGCGTCTGGGTAGTAGTTGACCGTTCGATTAAGTCCGTCTGGGTAGTGGTTATGAAAAAAATAACCAAAACCGTTTCTAATCGTTGAGGGACTTGCACACCTCAAATGGGAATTCCGAAAGCATTTTTGGACTCAGGTCATAGTCTATTATTTAATTTCATATTTGAAATATTTTTAGTAAAAATATTTATAAAAGTTGAAAAATCAGACGTTTTCAGATTTATTAATCGCGAAACATTAAACTACTGATTTTCGACATGATTCATATTATTGGTAGTGTAGTCCGGAAAAATAAAAATAAAAATCAATGCCGGTTTATGTGAGTTCTTTAGCCCCCGTCCTTTTTAGATTTTATATTTTGGGGAGAGTAGATGTTGTACGTTGACTGTTTTGAGATTGATAAATAAATTTCTTGCACAAATTGGAATAACTCCATACTAAATATACTTATATTTGAAGCACAAATTGGAATAGCTCCATACTAAATATACTTATATTTGAAACACGTAATGATATTATGTAAGTGGAAATTTGGTATGTGGTAAACATAGTAAACTGACGAACACAATTGTTGACAAAACTAGTAAACTGTATTATTAGTTATGCAGCACATGATTAAATAATTATAAGAAATGGATTAATAAAAGTTGAGGAAACTTTGACCTTAAAGCAGATTACTATATAAAGTCAAATAAATTTGATTTGACCTTAGAGCAGATTACTATATAAAGTCAAATAAATTTGATTTTGTGTGAATTTATGTACATGTATGTCATATAAAATATAAACAGAAAATTTTATTTGTAAATCAATAATGGAAATTTTACATGGGAAGAAAGTATGTTGCTATAATGGATGATAAAAAACTCAAATTGGATGAAAAGTAATAAAAAAATAGATTTGCTATTATTATCAACAATAAAGGCATATTACATAATATTATTATGTAAAAAGGAAATTGTGAACAATTTTCTATATTTATACAAATTATACAAATTATTGTACAACCCTTGTTCTATAGAAAGATACACACAAAACAAACTAGTTAGAAGCTATTTCTCATTGTGAGCTGTCAAGCTATTTCTCATTGTGAGCTGTCAAGTGAAAGATACACACAAAGTCACCAACATCACGCCTTCACTTGCTTTTTCCTTGTTCCTGTACATCAAAATTTAACAGGATTTGGAAGATTACGTGCACTCTTATTCAACCCGTTAGAACACTAAAACACAAATCCATAACCTGTACAATGATGAAAATCTACAACTTTGATTCACAAACAGCCAACAACAATCAAACCCAAAAACCCATCTAAACCTATTGATTAAACATTTACATTCAAAATATAAAGACGAAGAAGACGACCTGTAACATCCCATCCCTGCCAGACCCGTCACACAACACCACCTCCCACCACTGTTTACAAACCTCCACCACCATTCACCACATTCCCTCTCCCTCCCTCGTCCTTCCTTCTTTCCTGTCAAGAACCAAAGCCAAACACCTACTTAAGCCTATCGATTTTCTTTCAAACGCAAACCCAAATATCTATTTTGTTCATTCCATAGATTCATGTTAAAACAAACAAAATACTAAAAGAAAATTCTTATCTATTGTTAATTGGAACTGTCAAAACGAGGGGGGAAACATCGCGATTGTCGAGCAAACACCATCAATACCTCCTTTGCCCTCGCCTTCTTCCTCTTCTGTCCCCAAAAACCCCAGACCCCCGAAGGTCTCACCTCGTCGCTGCTGCTGCTCTCGACACCCATGGACCGTTCCTTTTCTTCGGTCTAGACGACCACAGGAGCATGCCACTCGGATGCGATGAGTCTGCAATCGCCGGACGAGAAAGAGGGAGCCTCGCTGCTTTCGTCTCTTCTCCTCCTTCAGTTCGGCCAAGCACCGGAGCCGTCTTGTTAAAATGTGTGTATTTGTACAAACTTAACATTCTTGTGTTGCAGGGTTAAAGTTGTAAGTAATTTAAGGTTATGGGTGTTTTGTGGTAATTATGTATTTCTTATGGACTGTGGTGTATTTTGTGCATTGTTCTTCGGGTTTGTGCGCGGGTTGGATGGATCCATGTACCCGGATACTTAAGGCGTGCTGAAGGGTTGCAGATCATAATTTCATACACACAAAATATCTTCGTCTGTTGAAAGCTCTCTCAAGACTCGGATTAGGGTTTCATCTCTTCGTTGTTCTGTTCTTAATCTCTTTGTTAGATTAGGGTTGAGTGTAGTTGTGAGAGTAGATTAGGAATATTTGTAGTGAGGTTTCTTTGTAAGTATCTTAAAAACCATCTGTTCATTTGTCCTCAAATGATATAATGAATGATGATGTTGGGAAGATGTGTTTGTGTGTTTTTTAAGATGGTATCAGAGCACAAGACTTCAATCTTGGTTTCTGATAGCCTTCGTCTTCACCATTGAGGTAATGTTTCGCTCTCTTTGTTGTTTTGATCATCTGGATCTTCGTTGTTCTCCTTGTAAAGTACTTTTTTAGATTCTTGGTACTGCGAGTTTCTTTGGTTGTTGCAGGTCTGTTGTCGAGTAGAGATCCTCGTCTGACTTGTTGCTTGTGAGTGGAGATCCTTGGTAACAGAACGCTGACTCATCAGATCGATTAATCTTGACTCTGAAATAACTCTCATGAGAACGGATTTCATCACCGTTAACTCTTGAAGAGAACAGAGTAACAAGAGTCGGTATGTCTTCCTTCTTCACGGTTGTTGTGAGCTTTCTTGTTCCTTTTTTATCTCTTTTCTAGTTGTAGAATCTGGGAGATCCTGGTTGTCTTGAGTACACCAGTTATTTTTTGGTTAATTGTTTCTTCTGTGATTCTTGTCTTGGGCCCCAACATACTGTGGTGACCATCTGGACTTAAGGAATCACAATTGTCTTTCTTGTTAAGTTTCTTTGATTGATTGTTTCTTTGTGCATCATGACTGATTCTGAATCTAGTAGTGGTTCTAAGACTCCTAAGACTTCTGAGTCAGTGAACTACGATGATCCGTTGTTCATTCATCCTTCTGATAATACTGTTACTACTGTTATCAATTTTAAGCTAACTGGGACCGAAAATTTCCGTGTATGGCGTAGTTTTATGACTAGGAGTCTTAAAGCTAGGAATAAATTAGGGTTTGTTGAAGGTAAAGTGACTAAGGATTCTAGTGATGAACTTCATTCACTAAAGTGGGAGCGTGCTAATGCAGTTGTTTGCTCCTGGATCCTTGGTTCTTTGTCTGAGTCCATTTATTCTAGTCATGCTTGTTCTGATTCTACTAAAGATATTTGGGATGAACTGTTTGAAACCTATAATAAAGCAGATGGGTCTGTTATCTTTAATATTCATCAAATAATTAACTCTCTTAGTCAAAATGGAACCTCTCTTTTTGAATACTTTAATAAACTTGATACTCTCTGGAAGGAGTTTGATGGTCTTACCAGTCTTACTGAGTGTACTTGCGAGGCTGCTGCCACATTTAATGATCACTCTAAGCTGATGAAGTTAATGCAATTCCTTAGTGGTCTAGATGAATCTTTTAGTCAAGTAAAGAGCCATATACTTTTGATGGATCCTCTTCCTAATGTTAAGACTGCCTTTTCCATTGTTTCTAGAGAAGAGTCTAATCATAAGAATGGAGTTATCTCCTCTTCTTCGAGTGTCTCCAAAAATCAATCTTCTGCATTTAATAGTAGGTTCAATGATAGAAAGGTTCAAAATAATAGTTCAAATAGAGGTAGGAATCAAAACTTACAATGTAAAAAACTGTGGACTTAAGGGTCATTCTGTTGAAAGGTGTTATAAACTAATCGGATATCCAAAAGATTTTAAATTCAGAAGTGAGGCTAATAATGATAATATGAAGAGTCAAAATAAGTCTTTCACCAGTAACTCCTCATCAGTTCCTTCTGGTAGTTCTTTTTCATCTAGTGTTGTTTCAGAAACTAGAGGTAGTAATGCTCACTATTTCACAAGTGAGCAATACAGCAAGTTGTTGAGTCTCATAAATGAAAAGTCTTCTGTCTCAGAGGATACTTCTGTGAGTGCTAATATGGCAGGTATTGGTGTTCCTTGTTTTCAGTCATGTAATTCTTTTTTTGAACATCAGAAATGGATAGTTGACTCAGGTGCAAATCAGCATATGACTTCAGCTGAGTCACTTCTTCATGATACTATTGATGTTTCAAAATTAAATCTTCTAGTCAGTCATCCTAATGGTTCTTGTGCCAAAATTAATAAAATTGGAAATTTACAATTTTCAAAAAACTTAACATTGTTTGATGTCTTTGCTATTCCCGATTTTAATGTAAATTTACTTTCTGTACATAAGTTGTGTAAGGATACAAACTGTGAGGTTGTTTTTAATGAACATGAGTGTAAAATTCAGGATTTACAGTCAATGAAGGTGGTGGAGAATGGTAAAGAAACTGGGGGATTATATTATCTTAATTCTTTTCCCTCAGGTATTTGTTCTGCTAAAACTAACTTTGCTAAGTGTTTTGTGTCTAAGTTAACTTGGCATAGTAGATTGGGCCATCCTGCTGAACAAGCATTAAACTGTTTAAAAGAAAAACTTAATTTTACTAATACTAATCTCCCACCTTGTGATGTTTGTCACAAGGCCAAACAAACTCGTGAACCTTTTCCTCTTAGTGTTCATAGTTCATCTTTTTTAGGAGAGTTGGTTCATCTTGATGTTTGGGGTCCCTATAGAGTGTCTACTAGGGAAGGTTTTAGGTATTTCTTGATTGTTGTGGATGACTTCACAAGGGCTACTTGGGTCTATCTTTTAAAAGGCAAAGATGAAGTTTATAATTGTTTTACATCTTTTTATAGTATTTTGATAAATCAATTTGATTCAAAACTTAAAATTGTTAGATCAGATAATGGGACTGAGTTTTTAAATGCTAAAATGAGTTCTTTTTTAAAACTTAATGGGATTCTGCATCAAACATCTTGTGTTTATACCCCACAGCAGAATGGGGTGGTTGAAAGGAAACACAGACATATTTTAAATGTTGCTAGATCCCTTTTGTTTCAATCTGCTCTTCCAGTCGTTTAGTGGGGAGAAGCTGTTCTTACTTCAGTTTTCTTGATTAATAGAATGCCCACTTCTGTTTTAAAAGGTTTGTCTCCATATGAGCTTTTTTTCAAAAAACCTCCTATGTTTGAACACTTAAGGGTATTTGGTAGTTTATGCTTTGCCACAAAATTAAATAATCAAGACAGGTTTTCTGAAAGGGCTAAAAAATGTGTTTTATTAGGATACTCATCTGAAAAAAAGGGATACAAATTGCTGAGTCTTGACACAAATTCTATTTTTGTTTCCAGGGATGTGAAGTTTTACGAGTCTGTATTTCCTTTTAAGATGAAGTCAGTATCTGTTGATAAGAATTCTGTTTGTGATAATCCTGTAGACCCTTTTTCCTATGATGATATTGATAATCCTGAATATATAAATGATGTTGTCAATTTGGATGACCTGAGTATTAACCACCAGTTGGATGGTTCTAATGCAGCTGAGAATTTGACTGATACCTTGTTTGATTCTACACCTGGTGACAGTCAGACTAGCGAGGCATCTGTGCCTCTGTCTGGTGAGTCTATGCCAGATCCTTCAAATGTTTCTGAGGAAAATAGTCATTTAGATTCCTTACCTTCCTTAGGACAGTCTGTAGGAGTGTCTGGCTCTAGAAGAGAGTCTAGAATGCCTGTTAAGTTTAGTGATTACATTGTTGAGGGAAAGCATAAATATGGCATTGAACGAACTCTTAACTATTCTGTTCTAAGTGAAGAAAATAAATGTTTTGTTTCAAATCTTAATAAAACAGTTGAACCAAAAAGTTTTGTTGAAGCCTCTTCTGATCCTAATTGGATAGAGGCTATGAACAAAGAAATGGAAGCTTTGTATAGGAATCATACTTGGGACATTGTTGATTTACCAAAAAATAGAAAGGCAATTGGTTGTAAGTGGGTACATAGAATTAAATACAAACTTGATGGTGTGGTTGATAGATATAAGGCTCGCCTTGTAGCCAAAGGATATAATCAGAGAGAAGGTATTGACTACCAAGAAACCTTCTCTCCTGTGGCTAAGATAGTAATTGTACGCGTAGTTTTATCTTTGTCTGTTAACAAGTCTTGGCCTTTATATCAACTTGATATAAATAATGCCTTTCTTTATGGGGATTTGTCTGAAGAAGTTTTTATGACTCTTCCTCCAGGATATCATTATGTAGGTGATAAAAGAGTATGCAGATTAGTTAAGTCATTATATGGTTTAAAATAGGCACCCAGAAAATGGAATGAGAAGTTGTGTGTTGAATTGTTTAGTTATGGTTTTTTACAAAGTGTCAATGGTTACTCTTTATTTGTTAGGAATAAAAACAACTCTGTTGTTATTTTGCTGGTTTATGTTGATGATATAATTTTAACAGGTGATAATGAAAGTGAAATTAAAAGTGTAAAGTCTTTTTTAAACTCAAAGTTTTTGATTAAAGATTTAGGGAAGTTGAATTATTTTCTTGGTATTGAAGTTTTAAATATAAATCAAGGAATTTGTTTGAATCAAAGAAAGTAATGTCTTGAACTTTTACATGAATTTGGTATGTTAAGTTGTAAGCCTGCTTCCACTCCTTTAGAAGCAAATTTTGTTCCTAAAAGGAGTTATGATTCTGATGATCCTCTGTTGGAAAATGTGACTGAATTTCAAAAGTTAGTGGGAAAGTTGATATATCTTATTATTACTAGACCTGACATTTCATATTGTGTACAAATTTTAAGTCAGTTCATGCATAAGCCTCATAAATCCCATTTGAACATAGCTTTGAGGTTGCTTAGGTATTTGAAAGGTAGCCCTGGAAGAGGTGTTTCTATTGTTAAAACTGATACTTTTGACTTAGTTGGTTTTGTGGATGCTGACTGGGCAAAGTGTTTGTTTTCAAG